TTTGGTTGGTTGATGATGTATGGAGGGGATTGAAACAATGGCAATGAAACGATACAGGATAGGATGAATGTAAAGCTAATGTTCTCCCATGTAAACTATCACATAATTCACAATAAAACATTAAAAAAAACACAGGTAAACATATTTTTGTTTTCAAACAAGATCCATCTGATATTAGCAATGATATTCTTCATTCTACATCTTCTTCTGAACCTAGATTAAGTTTCTGACAGTTCCCTCTTCATCAGTTGCTACAACTGCTTTTGAGTTATTGTCAGCAAAACTTAACTTGAATGTGATATTAATGATGTTATTTGATAATTTCCACATTCTGTTGGATTACCTGTCTTTGGAATGGGCAGAAATATGGATCTCTTCCAAATGGTTGGCCAGGTAGCTGTCTTCCAAATTTCTTGGCATAGATAAGTGAGTCAGCGTTATATCTGTTTGTTGAAACATTTTATTTGGTATTCCATCAATTCCTAGAGTCTTATGAATTGTTCATGCTTTCAGTGCAGCTTGGATTTCTTCCTTCAGTTGGTATGATTAGTTACACAATGTGCCAACATTCTCTTTGTGTTCAGTTTGTTCCCTTTCCAGTACTCTATTTTCATTGACTTCTTTGATTTCGTGTGATTGTTGACATTTTGGCCTCAGACTGGTAGTTTTTAAGTAGGACACCCATCTTATGGGTAATACCTTGTTTGTGTGTGTGTTAAACTGCTGTTTTGCAAAAAGTTAATTTCAAGGGATAGGTTTAGTTTTAGGTTTAAAAAGTGTCTCAGAGCGATAGTCTCAGGGAGATTGTTCTCTTTCAGGTTTGTCTTTCTTCCTTTCTTTCTTTCTGGGACCAACTATTATGACCTAGGTCAGATGGTCTGCAGTTTTCTACCTTCAGTACCATAGGTTCTTGATCTTATGCTATTTCCTAAGATGGTTGGTTTGACCAATTGTTTTGGTACAATGCCTTTATGTTTTCCTTCCATCTTCTTATGATACTTCCTGCCTTGTACAGTATTTTGCCCATGGAATCCTTCAATAGTGCAACTCTTTGAAATTTTTCTTCTGTTCTTTTAGGTTGAAAATGACAAGTGTGTTTTTTCCTTTTGGTTTTCTAACTCCAGCTGCTTGTACATTTCTTTATAATACTTTTGTATGCCTTTTTGTATGTATTCTGAAATCTTTTGTTCAGTTCTTTTTATCCATTCACTTTACATGCTTTGTGTTCAAGAGCAAATTTCAGTCTTTACTGATGTCTGTTTTGTTTTTTTCTTTATTTTTTATCTTTGCAATGACCTTTTGCTTTCTTCATGTATGATGTCCTTGATGTTATCTTACAACTAATCTGGTCTTCATTCATTAGTGTTCAATGCATCAAATCTATTCTGATTGATGATCTATAGGTTGTCTATAAATTCAGGTAGTATATATTCTCATGGACTTTTGTTTTCAGCTTCAACTTGAAAATTTACATAGGAGGCAGTTGATGGTCTACTCTGTAGTCTGCTCTTGGCCTTATTCTGACTGTTGATGTTGAATTTCTCTGTTGTCTCTTTCCATAAATGT